GAGTTCACTTTAAAAAACATTTAGGAGTTGCTAATTAGTAAAGATTAGAAATTCAAAATTCTTAAAAGGAATGTACTCAACTAAACATAATAATTCTCAGGGGAATTAAGAGGAAGAAAAAGAAATGAAGAAGGATAAAAAAATTATAAAATAACTGATTCAAAAGAAAAATCAAAATAAGTGACCAGTCGCTTGGAGAATAAGCTTGTGGTGGGCATAAAAATAAAAAAAAATTGATGTTTAAGTCCTTTCCTAATTAATAAAGCTTAAAAACTCTCTTAAGAAAATTCTTATGATAATATAGTCAAGAAAATGTTAAAGTCACTTTGGGTTAGTTGGTTGACTTTTAATTAATTTAAAAATAGCTTTAAAAAATAAAAATATTTCAATAAATTATGTCACTTGATGTGTGTTCGATGTAACTAAGTCAGCCTACAACATAATTATGCCTAAGACGGGCATAGCTACGCCTTTATCCCTCAAAGTTTAAAATAGCAAGTTTTTTTCCCGGTGATATTAATAAGAGATGTTATGGGTTAATTGGGCGCTTCTAGGACATTAGAGGTTGGGTTTCTTCTTGTTCTTTAAGCAATCTTGCAAATCTTGCGATCTTCTCACTTAGTTTTCCTTTGGAGAAGATTCCTATTGTTATTTTCTATTGGGAGTATAGAAATGTTATGAGGAGAGATTGAGTGCACTTGTATGAGAGATACTAGCAAGAAGCTCGTATTGAATGTAGACGATCATTGTGTATTGTAAGAATCATTTGACTCTAACATGAGTTTAATGTACTTGCATCATTCTCATTTTTATGCCAGTATAGTATTTTTTGTGTTTTTTTTCTTTTGCATTGAAGTTAGTCTCATTTTATTACTCTTGTGATATAAAACATATGATTTTCTCATTATTTTATCAATAAATTTTGTTCCCTATTTGCCTCTTTCAATGATTTGATTTTATATGTTGATGTGTTGACTTTCTAGACTTAATTATTTTATTATCTTACCCCATATAATGTTAAAATCATTCATGATCTAACATTTCCAACCAACGTCAGGAATATTAAGTATGCTGATGCATAATAGCATAGTTGAATAAATAGATTGTCATTATAAAATTACAACTTAGATAAGGGGCTAGAGGATTTTTTACTTTTTACCCTAGTTGACACTTCAAACTAGATGCAGAGGTTCAAAATATTAGAAATTTCTCTATGATAAGTATTTTGACAACGTTCATCATTGGATCGGCCTGTTGAATCTATATTTGTCCTGTAGACCATGCTCATGACATAGAGTGTAGGGACCGATAAAGGGAAAAGAGTGAGAGAGAGAGAGAGAGAGAGAGAGAGAGAGAGAGGAGTCGCACCGTGATTGCCCCCAACGGAGCTAAGTGGGGGTGTTTAAGGCTCTCACCCTCATTTTATATATTAAAAAAAAATTATTACAAGAGCCGAGGAGAGTGGTGCCTAAATAGCTAGAAAACCCAAATAACATTCTCCTCTTTACCTGAAAAGATCCGCCTATTTATAAATCATAGGATATCTAACAATTTACATTATTGCTCATTAGAGTTAAAAGTTATTATGCCCCTAGAAAGCTACCAGTTATTGTTGTCCACGAGAGTTATCGATTATTATTATATATGGGAGTCAATAGTTATTATTGTCTTTATTGACACCTTTTTAAATATTTGACACTAAGGGTGTAAATGAGTCAAGTAGAGCTTGAGCCACCTTCGACTTGAACCACCATCGATACTAAGGGTGCCTGTCTACAAGTTCGAGCCGGCTCATAAGCCAGCTTGTATAGTATAAAAAAAAGAAAATAATATTAATTTAAGATACTATTATAGTAAAATGATAAGAATGAGCAATTAGAAGAGAAATAGTAAGAAATCACATAAAATAAATTACTAAATCTCATTTCTTTTAATTTTTTTTAATACTTTAAAGATAAAATCTTCAAATTTAATATATTTTGAGTATTTTATATCAAAACCTTTTGGAACGGCCAACTCTTGAGCTAACGAGTCAATTGGGGCTAGCTTGAGTTGGGCTCATCGAGCTGACTTCACGAGCCACTTATCAAGTCGAGCTCGAGTTGGTTCACAAGTCAGCTCGATTCACTTACACCCCTATCTGACATCTTTTCCTATGTCCGACACCTCTTCGTTGTTTGGTCAATTAGGTGATGTGGCCAGTCCGTCGACTAAGGTGGCCACCTGAATGAGGTGGCCGACTAGTCTCTACTACCATCGGCATTTTTCAAACAACACATACACTAACTCTTTATTTTTATATTGATTGATCGATATATATATATATATATATATTTACATGTGTGATTGATTGATTGTTTTACAGAAATGATGTCAAAAATAAGAATATGATTTGTTAGTGGTGATTAGGGCTATAATCGAGCCAAACATATCATAGTTCAGACTTGGCTTAGTATAATTATAAGTAGTTCATATTTGGTTTGAGCTTGTGTCGATCTTTCATATATTGTTCAAGCTTGAATTGTTTAAATTTTTTAATGTTCGAACTTGATTTGTTTATGACAAGTGAACATGTATTTAAACGAGCTAATAAATAAGCTAAAAATTCAACCGAATATCTAAATTTTCATACAAATTTTCTTAATAACAATTTTACAAATATGATTGCAACTATTAGTTTATTGATTATAAATTCTAAACATTATAATATCTTAAATCTCATTGCTTCTTCATTTTGGCCTAAATCTCTCACTTACGAGGTGTTTATTAGAATGATTTGTATAACATCTTAGTGTGATTTTATTTAAATCCTACAAAATAGCTAAAAGTGACAACTTTAAAACCTACTAAAACTTAATATCAAGTATGTATATATAGTATATAATACGAGCTATCGTCGATCTATCGACAAACAAATTAATATTCTAATTAATTAAATTTCATTTCAATAATTTATCATATATGATACAAACTATCATCCAGCTTAATATCAAATATTTAATAAGTTGCTTCTTGAACAACAAATGAGTTTGTTCGAGAACATAAATGAAGAAGTTTGACTATATTTATATTTAATTCAAGTTTGAACTTCGAGTTCTTAAATATTTTTCATGCTTATTTATCTACTAATTTGAACGAACATGATCGAGTCTTAATCAAGCCAAGTTCAAGTTGTTCATCGAGTGCATTGGTTCATTTATATCCCTAATTATGATGATAATCGACATTAGTGTTAACAACGAGCATTCACCTTGGTAAAAATAACAAATCTCAATACTAGTTTTGATAATGGGCATCGTCCCTAAGGGCAATATCGTACCTTAATGCTGGTGTCAATGTTAGGCATTAGCCATGCTAGAAATGTCATGAAGGTATCAAAATACCGCTTGCTAGAACTTCTAAATTCTCTTTTCTAGGATATTTTCTCCGGCATCATCTAATGCATTTTCATTCTATTTTGTTTTAATATTCTTCTAAATCATGGTTATATCTAATTTAGCACATTAGTTCATTGAGTCTTGCTTATGTAATATTTATTGAATCAAACAATACCCAACTTACTAATCATTTAGTTTAAATTATACACATGTTTTAGTAATTAAATTAAGACGACATCTAGTCCTCAGAAAGATGATACAAGGAAATTCAAAAATATTAAATTTTGATAACACTTTTAAATCTACTGATCAAACTAACTATAGCTAACCGTCAACTTCAAGTTAAAAGGTCATGGTCAAGAGGCATTGCCCACTAAACACCTGTCGTTGAGGGCCACAAGATGGGCCCATATGCCATACAATCTAACGTGCCCCCCATGATCCTCGCCGCAAAATTTAGATCACAACCTCTTTATTTAATTTTTGCATGAGAAATTATAGTAACATCTATAACGACATAGGCACATGAATCATGGCTCCATGCAACACATGTACCAATCACTTATGATGCGGCTAGCTTTGAAGACATTATCAATTTTAAATCCCCGGCAATAAATTACATTTTTTCCTCTAAAATAAAAAAATAAAAAATGCGCCCATTACATGCTATAATTATATTATACATTGAAATAGCGTACATGTGTTTGTGCATATTTCCTTTTTAACAAAAAAAGGTAAAAAATCTGATTTTTTTGAGAGGTTAATGAATAATGTTCGAGTAAAGTATCATAATAATCGCCTGAGTATTTAAATGGAATTATTTTAATTCTATAATTTATAGAAGTGTGAAATTAATTCTCAATTTTTTTTAATATGATCATGATTATTTTGGCTATTTATCGAATAATGTTTTCTTCAAATAAATTCTTAAAAACTAAACTTTTTTCTTTAATATAAGAATAGAAATAAGAATGTGAAATAAACTCGCTCAAAAATTAATTCAAATTGTGGCTTGGATCGAGATTAAATTGAAATAAACAAATGAAGGATGAGCCGAAACTTCAGATTAATTTTTTAGTTGATTTTGAGTCATATGTAAATCCACTCGAACTGAGTCGGGATTAGCTCAAAATATTTTTTTCTTTATTATAATTATACGTGTATCACTACATCAAAATTGAATATAACGAGTCACTAGCCAATTTCGAGCAATAAAAGATCCAAATAACTCAATTTAAATCAGCGCGATGAGATTGAGCCGAATTGAGGTGTTTTCAAGTTGGAATGGATCCAAATAACTTACTTTAAGACAGATTGTTTCAATTTAGAGTCAAATGAAAGCTCAATTCAATTTCGAGTTGAATTGACTCGAAATTAAATATAACAAGCCATACTTATTTCATTTGAGCCTAATCAAACCACTAACAACCCAAATTGGAGCCGTCTACATAAATAAATAAAACATAACAAAACAAAATAAATACTTCAAAAAAAAATTAATTAATTGAGGAGAAGCATTACGGGACGACATAATGGCACTATCCAGTCATAAATAACGGCAATTACCGGATGCAATTAGTGCAAGGAGGGGTGCGCGCAGCCTTTCAGCCGCCATTTGCGTTTTTACCATTTTTTTTTACTTCCCCTCCCCTCCCCCCTCATTATGACCACCAACCTGCCTTTAATTCAGCCCTAATATAATTTCAAGAAAAAAAAAATCATAACTTTAAAAGTGAGAAAAAAATAGTCAGCTTCTCGTACATTATTTATACCCCACCCTTCGTCTACTCACAACTAGCTTCCCAATCATCATTCTCTCACTTCTTCAAGCAACCCAAACGGCCAAAGCGACCCCATCAAATCTCTTCTCCCTCACTATATCTAGAGAGAGAGAGAGAGAGAGAGAGACGCACACACACAGTGTCCATCTCTTGCTACTGAAATGAGGGAGGAAGTAGTAAAAGTTTTAGTGAGAGAATTCGAACCGGAGAGAGACAGAGAGGCCGTGGAGATTTTAGAGAAGTCTTGCGAGGTTGGTCCCAGCGGCAAGATGGCTCTTTTCACCGACCTTCTTGGCGACCCACTTTGCCGCGTTCGCCACTCTCCTTGTTTCTTCATGCTCGTAAGTACTCCCTTCCGGATTTCCCTTTTTTGCCTTTCGAGATGGGGGACTATTTCTTCTTCCTCCATCTCCTCCATCTTCTTCTAACTCCGAATCCGAAACGAAACAGGTCGCCGAGACCTGCGGGCCGTTGAGCCTAATCGTGGGAGTCGTCCGCGGCTGCATCAAAACGGTCACGTGCGGCAAGAAGGCAAACCGCTCGCCTTCCGGCGAGAAGCAGTATACGCCTATCTACACCAAGCTAGCCTACCTCCTCGGCCTTCGCGTCTCACCCGCATACCGGTAAGCTCACCCCCTCCCCCGTAACCGCCATTTTAACTGCAAAACGTATCGTTTAATGAAACGAGCGGTGCGGCCGTTCAGTGAACTAAAAATAAAATTGATAATTATAAAATGATAGAAATAGTATATCTATATAAAATTCACGTATAATTAATTCAACCAAAAAAAAATCTTTTTTAAAGGAATTTTTAGTCAATACTATTTAAATTTGGAAAACTTAGGCACATACCAAACAATTCTTATAAATATACATATATGCTTTTATATATATATTTTTTGTTTATGATAGTTTAGTGTCATGAAAAATGTATTTCACTTTTAAAAAGAAGTTAAAAGTGATATTTTTAATGTAATATTAAATATGTAAGTGGTATGCATGTAAATATAAAAATTTAAGGGTCACACATGGAACACATAAGAATTGTGAGATATATATATATATATATATAAACCAATAAGAATTGTGTGCTATTACTTTCTAATTCACTCTTTGATTGAATAACGAAAAAAAGTTAAATTTTAATTATTAAATTATTATAAAATTTAAAATAAATATTATATACAAATAAAAGTTTTGAGATAATTACATACAGAAATGTTGATATTTACAAATATACCATCTATGTTGATTTTTTGGAACAACTAAACAAATGCACTGAAAATTCGATAAAAACGAAAAATATGGGTTAGGGATATAGCTATAATTTTGATATTTGAATGAGAGCGATTAGCAATGTTGTTTACTGGACAGGCGAATGGGCATCGGGCTGACACTCGTCCAAAACATGGAACAATGGTTCCGCTCTAAAGGCGCCGAATACTCATACATCGCCACAGACACCGAAAACGAAGCCTCCGTCCGCCTCTTCACCCGCCGCTCCGGCTACACAAAATTCCGAACACCTTCCATTCTCGTCCACCCTGTCTTCCGCCACCCCCTTCCCCTCCACCACCGCCGCATAAAGCTCCTCCGCCTCTCCCCCTCAGCCGCCGAACTCCTCTATCGCCGCCGTCTCTCCACCACCGAATTCTTCCCCAGAGACATCGGCTCCATTCTCCGCAACAAACTTTCTCTCGGCACCTTCCTCGCTCTCCCCTCCGATCATCCCTGGACTGACCTCCACGGTTTCCTTGCCGCTCCGCCGGATAGCTGGGCCGTACTCAGCGTCTGGAACTGCAAAGCCCTGTTCCGGCTAGAGGTCCGCGGAGCAGGGAGATGGAGGAGGTGGTTGTCTTTTGTGACGCGGGTGGTGGATGGAGCGCTGCCGTGTTTGGGGATCCCGTCTGTGCCGGATGTTTTTCGGCCGTTTGGTATGTATTTGATGTATGGGATTGAGGGGGAAGGGAAGGGAGCGGAGGAGATGGTGCGTGTGCTGTGCAGGTATGTGCATAATTTGGGGAGGGAAGGGGGTTGTAAGGTGGTGGTGGCGGAAGTGGGGGAGGAGGAGCCGTTGAGGAAAGGGATACCGTATTGGAGGGGGATGTCGTGCGCGGAGGATTTGTGGTGTGTGAAGAGATTGGGGGAGGATTATAGTGATGGGGCGGTGGGAGATTGGACCAAGGCGGCGCCGGGGAAGTCGATTTTTGTTGATCCGCGAGAGTTTTGATGCGAAAAATTCGTTTTTTTTTTTTTTTAAGGGTTAAATTTTGTTTTTTTGAACTGGATGGGATTATTTTGAATGAACTTTAAGTTGGGGAAGATGGAGCGGGAGCTGTGAAATTTTTGTCGAGACGGCTATGGAGAAGATGGAGAATGGTTGAGTTGGATAGAGGAGGATTTTTTTTTTTTTTTGTGAGTTATCAGTTCAATGGAATTTTATTGTGAATTTTATGGAATTTTTTTTGAAAAAAAAATTGTTTTAATCTTCATGATTGTAATGAATTTCTATTTTAACAATTAAAATTAGATTTCTTATTATCTGATGAAAAGAATAGATTTACGTTATATGAAATATTTTTTTATCAGAATATATTTAGAGGTTTGAAAATAATCTGAGTTAAAAATTATAAATACGAGAATATTTAGGTTTATGTTTAATTTTACACTTGAGACAATAAAAATATATCTCTGAGATTGGTATAGCCATGTTAACATACAACATTAGAAGGAGAGGACTTAAATGATTTAACCTGTGGATTTAATTTAAATCCAGTCATACTGAAAATTAAATATTAATTTCAACTATTTGTTAATTCATATTTGATTAAGTTTCAAATATTTTTCAAATCAATGTTCGACCGATTAATGATTTTCAACAAAACTAATATTATTAGAATGTTAAATGTTCTGATTTTGAGTCGAGCTGATGTGCGTTCGAAAGAAATTTGATCTAAAATTTTAACTCATAGTTTGGTGTTTATTTCTATCTGAGTTTCATAAACGATCCAAACTTTGGCTCAATATCCAAGCTATTATTGTTGTTCGAGCTAAATTTGCAGCCCTACACTTCGTACCACCTAATTTCTACGTACTGTAAAAAATTCTACTAACATACCACATAGTTCTCAGGATATAACCATCTCAGGATTTTATAAATATGGATTTGCCTGATTTATTAAATCTTATTCAAACTAAATTCTACTTGCAACCAAACAACCCTTAATCTAACACTCAGGCGATGTTTATGAGCTGATTTTAAGCATGATTTATGCAGAATTTCAGGTAAATATTGCCAACATGGAGAAAAATACCTATGTAAATCTTGAACTCTCGTAAATCTTAGAATGATGCGGACTACCGGTAAATTAGGGATTCACTAAATCCTTTAAATCAATGGACTTGGTAAATTCAGCATGAGCCAAGGGTAAGGGGCTGTTTGGTAGCCGATTTTAAGTAGGATTTATCTAGGATTTTTATGTTAAATCCAGTCAAACGGCAAAAAAGGCATGTGTAAATCCTACAGATTCTTACATCTTGTTTTCCTTCGTTTTGCCAGTAATTCGAGATTTCGTAAATCTCGTAGCAAGTAGGATTTATGTAATTTATTGAATTGAAAGTCTAGGGGGTGATAAATTCTACTAAAGTTGTCAAACAGTTCCTCAGATTTATCAAAATTTACTTATTAACATACAAAACAATTTTCAAGATTTAACACCTTCAAAATTTCATAAATCAAGATTTACTAAATTCTATTTGCAACCAAACAACCCCTTAGGACTTGTCTGGTAACTGATTTAGAACAGAATTTAAGCTAGATTTAACCTAGATCTTTGCATACGATCATTTTGGTTCAAATAAAGCCTCGGATTTGATAAATTTGGATTTCACGGATTTAGGCTTTAAACCTCAGATTTATTAAATCCCATGAATATGTGGATTTAGTAAATATTGGATGGACGTTTCGTTCAAAAAAGAAGTGAAGTTGCCTTCATCTATGGTTTCAAGTAGGGGAGAAGGGGAAGCAGGAGAGAAATAGGACTTTTGGATCTCCGTAAGTTGTGATCCCATTGTTGCATTCCCACCTACGTTCCCAGCTAGCTCCAATTGCAACGTTATGGTGAGGGTTCAATGTCGAACCGACAATATAAAACGTCAATTACTCCTAAAAACTCGTCAGAAATTTGTTCATATCGAAAAACAACGGGTAAGGAAGTAGATATGTCTTAGCAACTTATCTAGATGATTTACCATTGCTAAGTTGTTGGAAATTAAAATGAAATTTTCAACACGTAAAAAGTTATTTGTTTTTTCATCAATTTTAAATGCCTTTTATGTTGTGTCCACAACATAACAACTCTTGACTTTGGCCTTTGAGGCCTATAGACATCATTAAAGCTCACCACTATGGCCTATGTGACTAAATACAATCTAGTTGGTTCACAACTTGTGCTACTTTCGACTATGGCCTCTGCAGCTACAAACGTCATCACAACTTGCTACTTACGTAGTCCACAACTCGTAAAATTCCCGATCCCGCCTTGTGGCCTAGTGATGTCATCACAACTCACAACTACAGCCTACGTGACTCATAACACTTGCAACTTCCAACTAAGGTCTCTGTAGCCAACCGACACTCCTGAAATAACAATTTGTTGCGGCTCTCACTACCAACTACTATCATGGATTTTAATTATGACTTATATAACAAGTTGTCACTACATCCGTCATCTACAACTTTCACGACGGACTACTATTTCTGTAGCAATTAACTATGACTCTTGCAGCCTGCTATCACTAGGAACTGCATTCATTACAACTAGTCCACAACAATTACCAATGAACTATTGTTGTACATTTAAAATGATCAACTTTGTAATTTCATCATCCTTAATTTATGAGAAGTGTAGGCTTATATACTCACAATTCATAATGGATTATTTCAACTTATATACTTACAAAAAAGTTTATTTTAAGCAAGATTTATGTAGAGTTTAAGCTTAATCTTGCAAAAATAGAGAAAAATACCTATGTAAATCTTGAACTCTCGTAAATCTTAGAATGACGTGGACTCAAGTTAAATTCAGCATTGCTAAATTCTCTAAATCAATGGATTTAGTAAATTTTAGACAATCCAAGAGTAAGGAGTTGTTTGATAGCCGATTTTAAGAAAGAATTATCCAGGATATTTGTTAAACCCTGTCAAATGACAAAAAATGCATGCGTAAATCCTACAGGTTCTTAAATATTGTTTTTCCTCCTTTTTTCCTAAAATTCGGGATTTCGTAAATCTCGTAGGAAGTAGGATTTACGTGATTTATTGAACTGAAGGCCTAGTGGAAGATAAATCCTACTAAAGCTTTCAAACTGCTCCCTCGGATTTATTAGGATTTACTCATTAACATATCAAATAGTTTTCAAAATTTAACGCCTTCAAGATTTCTTGAATCTAGATTTACATGATTTAATAAGTTCTATTGAAACTAAATCCTACTTACAACCAAAGAGCCCCTTAGGGCTTATCTGGTAATAGATTTAGAACAACATTTAAGCAGGATTCAACATAAATCTTGCCAGACAATCATTTTGAATAAAATAAAGCCTCGGATTTGATAAATCCGAATTTCACGGATTTAGGCCTTAAACCTCAAATTTATTAAATTCTCCTAATCAGTGGATTTAGTAAATATAGTACAAACATTTTGCGCAAAAAAAGAAGTGAAGTTACCATCCTCTATAGTTTTGGGTAGGAGAGGAGGCGAAGGAGGAGAAAAATAGGACTTTCAGACCTCAGCAAGCTGTGATCCCGTCATTGCATTCCCACCTATGTTTCAGCTAGCTACAACTACGATCGTATGGCAAGGGTTCAGCTGTGAAGGCGATAGTTTTGAAAGAAACATGATAAAAATTCAAGAGTTTTGGGGAGCGAGGTAGAGGGTTTTGTGCTAAATCCAGAGCAGGACAGGGTTGCGGAAAATAAGAATGGAGATGAGGGTTTTAGGCGGGGAGTGTATTATTACATTATTTATCGATGACTTATAAGCAACTTAATAGTTATCAGTTTATAACATCAAAATAGACTGTCAAAGTCGCTTATTAAAGCAAAACTCAGTTTCTCTACCATGAAATGCGACTCTGTTAATAATCGATGAATTTCATCTGTCGGCTAACATTCAGTGTTGAATCGATAATATAAAATATATGTGACTCCAAAAAACTCATCAAAAATTTGTTCCTGTAGAAAAGTGACAGGTTAAGAAGCAGTTATGTCGTCACAAATTTCCTATATGATTTATTGTTGCTATGCCTTCAGAAGTTAACACAAAATTTTTGATACATAAAAAGCTGTCTGTTTTTTCGTCAAATATAAATTCTTTTTATTTAGTGTCTATAGCTTGAGCATCTCTAGAATTTGACCTGTGAGGCCTACAAACATCATTGCAGCTCACCACTACGGCTTGTGAGACTAACTACGACCTAATTGGTCCACAACTTATGTTACTCCCCACGTTGGCCTCTGAGGCCTACGAACATCATTAAAACTTGTCACTACAACCTACATGATAACCTATGACCTATGCGGTCCATAACTCATGCAGATCTCGACTCTGGCTTCTGCGGTCTACGAATGTCATCACAACTCACTACTATGGTCTATGCGACCAACTACGATCTACATGGTTCACAACTTCTGCAACTTCCAACCCCTACGACCTACAAACATCATCACAAATCATTATTATGACCTACACG